CACACATTTGTTTGTAACATTCACAACCCACGACTTCACCTCATCTCAACATCATTATCAACGTTTCATTCACTGATCAAATCGTTATTATTCTTATTTTTAATATAATAATAATTATTATGGTTGAAATTATTATTTTTATTATAAGAATATTAATTATTATAATTATTTGCCAAAAATGGCTCTAAAATGACGCATTTGTTACTCTTCAAAATTGAAATAAATGGTGGCAACTAGGTTTTAACATGCCAGATGGATGGTGACGTAGATGATGACGTAAATTTAAAAAGACGATGATGATGATGGTGATAATGGTGGTGGTGGTGATGATAATGATAATGAAGATGAATTTTGTGATGATGTGATGGTGATGATGATGAACGTGGTGAAGATGATGATGATGGTGGTGGGGATGATGATAATGAAGATGAATGTTGTGATGATGTGATGATGATGATGATGAATGTGGTGAGGACGATGATGATGATGATGAAGGTGGTGGTGGTGATGATGATGATAATGAAGATGAATGTTGTGATGATGTGATGATGATGAATGTGGTGAGGACGATGATGATGATGATGAAGGTGGTGGTGGTGATGATGATGATAATGAAGATGAATGTTGTGATGATGTGATGATGATGATGATGAATGTGGTGAGGACGATGATGATGATGATGAAGGTGGTGGTGGTGATGATGATGATAATGAAGATGAATGTTGTGATGGTGATGATGATGATAACGATGACGGTGATGATGAAATTGATAATGATAGTGATATCAAAAGATTTCATACTCTACTGACAACTAACTTGTAACTGACGACAGATCCATTAAATTTCGTATATTAAGTTAGTAATTAAGTAATTAAGTAAATAATTAACAATTAAGTAAACTATTAATGCCCAAAAAACAATATGACGATGAATTCATCTACCATTGTACTGCAGTGTCAGTAGCAATGAAATCTCCACTTCTCGCGAAAAAATATGTAATTGATTAATAATGATGATCTGATATTGATGGTATAAGATACTGACGATGAGGATGAAAAAAACGGCGCTATATAAATCATAATAATATATTAATCAATTGATTGATTGCAAACAAAGTAACAAATCAACAGTTGCAAGCTCTAGAACTATATATCTTCCGGCAAACTTTTCAAGATAAAAAATTTACCCGAAATTATTAACTATTTTCCGGGACAAGCTATTCATCATTTTCATTATACAATGATTAACTTACGTAGCAACTGACAGCGATGGTGAATAAATAGATCATTTTTTTAAATTTTATTTTAAAGTAATTATTTGAAGTGCAAAGCGTAACCATAATCATTAATGGTAGACAGGTGAAACAAGTCAACAGCTTCAGTTATCATATCTCGCAAGTCTGACCACCTCGGGTTGTAAATGTGATGTGGACTTCAAGCGATCATTCATGCGGTCATTTTGCTCGCGTGGTCATTCCAGTTTGAGAATATTTTTTCAATCTCAGTGTTATTAATCAAGAAAATCAAATAATTATCTCTCAAATGCCAAAAATTTCAGAAATTGAGTTATGATGATGATGGTGGTGGTGGTGTTGATGATGATGATGGTGGTGGTGGTGGTGTTGATGATGATGATGACGACAACGATGATGACGATGACAACTAGTTGGACAATGATGACAATGGTGCTGAAGAAATTAATGATGACCTAGATTACTATGAGGAAGCTGCTCTCTTATGAATGATGGGGGTTAGAAAATGGTGCTGGTGCAGTACACGCAATGAGAGATGATAACGCAGATGATGACGTATGCAGTGGCGTAGAAACGTGATGATTTTGACGAGGACGTAGATTGGTGAAGCGTTTCTGACGACTGAAATGATGAAAGAAATAATGAAGGTTAAAAAAAAGCCCGTCGAAGTCAGGTCATGAATGTTGTTATGAATAGATTTGATAGAGTTTGCCTGCGTGTGCGTGTGTTTATTTGTGTGTTTGTGTGCGTGCGTGTGTTTGTTTGTGTCGTGTGTCTACTTGAATGATTTTTATAATTTGATATTTTAAAAATGTTATTTTTATACAGATTAATAGAAATTTCATTTAAATTGTAAGGGTTAGGGTTTTTAAAAATTGGCAGCCAATAATATAGCCATTAATTATAAAGTTCCTTATTAAAATCATTTAAGCTGAATAACAGAATTTGATTAGAACCAACTATTACCAAGATCAAGATCATCATCGTCGTCGTTGTCGTCACCATCATCATTATATCGCAATCATCATCGTTATCACCGTCAACAATTGTTAACCAAAATGTAAACAAAATCACTCTTGTTACTAAGAATAGCCAACCAATCAACATCGAGAAAGCACAAACAATCAGTTTCCGAAACTCAATAATAAAGCACTAACAATCACGTGGTGAAAGTTGTTACCAAACAAAAACAAAGACAAAACAAAGACAAAAAAATGTTGATAACCATAAAGAAAGACAAAAGAACATAGATACGAATGTTGAATGACAACAAAACAATGGCAGCAAAACAAAGATATAAAATTTTGAACAATAACAATAATAATAAGGAAACAATTAAAAATCAAAATAGCAACAACAACAACATCAAAGACATCATCAAAACACGACAAAAGCAAAAACAATCAAAAAAAAGTTAAGGCGGGATAAAACAATGTTGACACATTTATTACCGAAACCCGAGAAACACATCAATGACGTCATAAAACGTCACTAAAAACATCCAAAAAACCTGCAACAACAACATCCTCAGACATTAATAACAACAACAACAACAACAACGACAGAATTCATCAACAAACACATAAACAGCTCATTTTAACAGAAATACCATCAATAACATTAACAACATTAAAACGTTTCTCTATGCAAAAAAATTAAATAAAAAAATAATTCAACCATACTAACATTAATAACATCAACAGCAAATCAACAAAAATACCCAACAACAGCCAGCCAAATATTTACATCGACAACAACAACATCAACAAAAACCACAACATCAACAACAACATCAACAACAACATAACAACAACATCAACATCAAAAACGACATCAACAACAACATCCAAAGCCAGTCATAAAAACAAACGTCAACGACAGATAAAACTTCGCTAGCAGACGATTTTATTACACAAATCCAAAAAGCTCGCAAACTTATTTGAAAAATTTTTCTAAAAATAAAAACATTAAACAAGTAAAATTGAATTTAACTTTAATGACTCAACCTTTTGAACATTCTAGATTGGAGTCTGGAAATAATGTTTTACTTCAATTAAGCTGTTTATTTATTCATTCCTCTATCCATCCATTCATTAGTAGTAGTGGCAGTAGTAGTAGCAGCAGCAGCAGTAATAGTAGTAGTAGTAGCAGTAGTAGTAGTAGTAGTGGTGGTGGTGGTGGTGGTGGTAGTAGTAGTAGTAGAAGCAGCAGTAGTAGTATTTTTTGCCTTTGTATATACAAATGTACATATATAGTATAATCCTTCTATTTAAACACAATCAGTTTAATGGTATGTGGCTGTCTGTCTTTCTTTACTAATTGTAAATTTGCATAATTTAAACGAATATATTCAAGACGTCAGAATTTCATTCTGTCTGAAATTTAATCTGTGTTGTTCTATTTTTACAAAAAAATAGGCAGAAATATTTATTTTGCAATTATTTTTGTGTTTATTTTTTAATAAAATTTAATTAATTTGCCTAATTTTTAAACACCAACTCATGACCTAGCAATCAAATATTCATGAAACATCAATGGAAGAAGAGTTATTTATTCTTCATAAATTTAATCAAAGAATATTTGTATACTTGTTTTAATAGTAGTAGTAGTAGAAGAAGAAGTAGTGGTAGCAGTTGTAGTAGTTGTAGTAGTAACAGCAGCAGCAGCAGCAGTTGCAACAACAAACATTATTACATTTAATTAAATCGCTACATCATATTAAACGGCCATATTATATCATTTTACGTATTATAAAAATCACATTGTATCATTACATGACATTAAAGTATGACGTCACGTTACATTACATGACGTCACATTACATCAGTTGTTGATATCTCGTCGCATATTTCAACGAATTCCTATCTGTTTCTTTGAGCTGCCGTATCATTTGTTTCAACTGCCATTCACTTTTTTATTCACTCACTCACTCATTCACTGTCTCATCTGTTCATTTAGTCATTCATTCATTCATTCATTCATCCATATATTTATCTATTATATTCATCCATCTATTCACTCACTCACTCACTCACTTCTTAATCGACTTCTTGCACTTTCACGTGTTTCTACTCGGGAAAATCAATCAGAAACTTAAGGCCTGGCCTGCCTATTTATCTTCAATTTCATTCTGTCATTAACTTTTTCGGGTCTTCTTCTTCTTCTTCTTCTTTTTCTTCTTAATGGCGTGTCAGTCTTTTTTGGGGACTCGATTCACTTTTACTTTTAAGTTTTTTTTCTATTGTTTATCATGTTTTTTTGGTTTGTTGCTGTTTTTGTACATATTCTTTTTATTTTTTCAAACATTATTCATGAGTACTTTTTTTGGGGGGGTTGTTTTTTCTGCTTGATCGAGCAGGAAATTTTACATTTTTTAGTTTAGTTTTTTTCTATTCACGTAAAAAAAATTTGATAAACTGAAGAAACAAAATGAAAAAGAGAGAGAAAGAGAAAGAGAGAGAGAAAGAGGGAGAAAGAGAATTTGAAAGAAAAAGAGAGAGAGACGATTATAGAAAAAGAGAAAGAAAGAGAGAAAAAAGAAAAAAATAAAGAAAGAAAGAAAGAAAAAAAGAAAACAAAGCTTTATAAATAATTATGAATAATATAAGAGAGAAAAAGAGAGAAAAAAAGGGAGACAGAAAAAAAAGAGAGAGAAGGAAAGAGAGAGAGAGAGAGAGAGAGAGAGAGAGAGAGAGAGAGTATCACACATTCGAATATAAGTTTGATTCCCCGAAGAAAACATCCCGACATGCAAGCATCACTTGCAAACATCAACTTAGGCATCGTGAATTATAGACCCCTGCTACTTTTCAGACATCAACAACAAATTAAGGGCTATAGGAATGAAAAAATAACATAAGAAAAAAAATAAAAAAGTGTTGTTATTTTTAATGTTTAAAATAAAAATTGATCCCAAAAAGATATGTCAACAACAAAAAAAGATTAAATATAGTTATCTTATAAAAAAAAAAATTATTTACCGCGTGAGAAACGACGCAGAGTTATTTTTTCATAAACAACAAACTCAAAAATTTAAAATATTTTTTTGCTTCGTGGAGCATGATACTCAAACATAAACCGGTCAACAAATTTATCTTCTTTTATATATAAGTTGAAAAAAATCAGATTATTTTTCTACTAAGATTAAATAATGATTCATGCCATTTAAAAATTATTTTTGGTCAAAACATTTTCATTTATTTCTTATTTTTCATCTTCTATTATTATTTTATTATTTTATTTTGTTTTTATATTATATATTACATTTATTACAATTTTTATATGAGAAATAATAGTTACTTTATTTCGTTTTCTGGTAATTAACGTTCTGTTCTGAAAGGTTTAGAATTGCACATACACGTTGTCGCTGTAACAGCAGTTGTATCAGTATTATTATTATTATTATTATCATTATCATTTTTATTTATTATTATTATTATTAGTAGTAGTAATAGTAGTAGTAGTAGTAATAGTAGTAGTACGAAAATGAACACCCAACATACACCCACTCATAAAAATACCAAAAAAAAACCAAGGAAATAAAATCCATGCAAACACACTTACACAACACACACTTACACAGCACACACACACAAAATCAAACACCAACCCACACAGACACACACACAGACACACACACACAGACACACAAAGACTCACACCAACAAACCCGCCACCAGATTCTGAGATACTTCAACGAAACTTGCAACGCCCTGCTCACCATCAACTCCGCCATCAACTTCGTCATCTACTGCCTAGTTGGTCAAAAATTCCGCACCCAATTCCACGAAATGTTGACCTGCAGACGTAGAATGACCTCTAACCTCACCACAATCGCTGCTCTTTCGGTCACTGAATCGCCATTCGATGACCAATCAAAGACGATTATGATGCTGGCGGCAGACGGGAAAGCGAACTCTACCGCTGCAACTACTTTTGTGGTTGCTAATGCTAGTAATAGTAGTAATAGTACTGCGGCTGGTTTTAATTTTAGAATTAGCAGTTGCAATAAAATTGCTAGTAATAATGTTAATGATGATGATGATAATAATAATAATAATAATAATAATAATAATAATAACAACGTTAGCCGTAGGGATGATGGGGTTGCGGGTAAAAAAGTTGAATTCGTAGTTGTGAATGATGGCGAGAATGATGTTGAAGTTGATGCTGAAACGCAAGAACACAACAACAGCAACAAAAACATTAATAACAACAATAACAACAACAACGACCCCGACTACAACAATGAGAGTGTAGAAAGCAGCAACAATAGCAATGAGATGGTATCCAACAACAACGAAATCATTAACATAAACTATAGCCAAGAAAATGACACCAACAACAACATCAACAACAACAACATCAACAACAGCAACAACAGCAACAACAACAACGACAACAACAGCAGCAACGACCAAACATCCACAATTGATTCTCCCGTTGACGAGATAGTTTCAACAACGACCACAATGACTTCTTGAGTGACAAAAACATTTTTATAACAACAAAACAACAACAGCATCGTCACCATCGTCACCGTCATCAACAACAACAACACAATCAAAACATTACACACACACACACACACACACACACACACACACACACACACACACACACACACATACACACAACCCACACACAAGCGGTCAAAAAATAATTATATCAGAGGAGTAAGTTCATTGCACGATAATTGCACCAAAAATAAGTTCTTGCATTAAGAATGAATGAATGGGTAAATAAATGAATGATTAATGATTGATTGAATAATTAAAAGAACAAATAACGCAAAGTGAGTGAACAACGAACAAACGAACGAACAAACACATGAATGATGAATAAACATACAAACGAACCAACGAATGAATGAACGAATGAATGAATGAATGAATGAATGAATGAATGAACGAATGAATGAATGAATGAATGAATGAATGAATGAATGAATGCATGAATGAATGCATGAATGAATGCATGAATGAATGCATGAATGAATGCATGAATGAATGAATAAAAACATAAATGAACAACTGAAGGAAAATAGGAATAAATGGGTGAATAAAAAAATTAATGAATATGTGAATCAATGGATGAATAAACTCCTAAACAAGTAAAAAAATGAAGAAAAGATTCTAAATAATTGCCACATCATAAAACTTTTATATTATTCGCGCTATAAAAATGATGACGGATGGATCGAAAGGCGGATGGCTGGGTTGATAAAGGAGTTGAAATGAAAAAACTTCATCCTCCATTCAAGAACCCATTCAATTATATTTTTCTGAAAAATAATAATAAGAAATAAATAACTACAACAACAACAACATCAATAATAATAAAAACAACAAAATAAATAATAATAATAATAATAACAACAACAATGACAATAATTATTATTATTATTATAACAATAAAAAACTATAATATTGGCAATAATAATAAAAACAAAAACAACAAATATCAAAAGTGCAAATGGGTAACATATTATGTGTTTCCACAATTCGGGCGTTATCCATTATTCAAGTTGACCATATGCGAGTATGTTTGATGATGGTGATGACGACGACAGTGAAGCTGCTGCTGCTGCTACTGCTGTTGCTGATGATAATAATGCTGATGATGATGAACAAAAATTTCAAAAAAAAATTACTAATTATGCAGCGCTTGATTTTTGTTTTAAGTTTATTCAAACACTGGTTTATGACGACGACGACGACGATGAAGTTGCTGTTGACGATAATGGTAATGATGATGATGAACAAAAATTGAAAGAAAAATTACTAATTATGCAGCGCTTAATTTTTGTTTAAAATTTTTTCAAAAACAATACACCTACAAATGGGTTTGTTGCATGATCGAGTGTCATATGTGTCTGTGTGTGTGTGTGTCTGTGTTTCTGAAACGTGTTCATAACATTTAATTTATTTTATATAAATCACGATCAACCAGACATTTTTTAATTACTCTTAACTTAATGAGTTATTAATTAACACTAATTGATCGATTCATTAACTATTTATATAGTCAAAATTAATGATTATTGAAGATTTTCTTGTTTTAAATAAATATCGTTATTTTTCCTTAATTGGCATCGTGAAAAAATTTTTTTTTTATAAGCAGGTACATTTAAGTGTCTGTTATAGTCTATTATACATATTTATAAGTATATATATATATATTATCCTTATATTAATATATTATATTATTATATATATTATTACATATATATATATATATATTAATATATGTATACATATATATATATATATTAATATATGTAAGGAAGTTGATGTTGTTCATATTCATGGTCCCGGTAATTTTTGTAATATTATATCAAGAATTCGGTCATCAACCAGCATATTATTATATATACTATATATATATATATATGTGTGTGTGTGTGTGTGTGTTTGGGTTTGTGTTAGAGAGAGTATATGTGTCTGTCTGCGTGTGTTTTATGCCATAAAATGTGTGTGCGTGCGCGCGCGCGCGTGTGTGTGTGTAAATATGTATCGTGTATATATTATATTAATATTTATGAATCAAAACATGTGTCTCTTTGCAATGAATAAACATGAATCAAGTTTATCTAAACGTGTATCTACGTGTATCCCCCTGTGTATCAGTGCATTTTATTGCTTATTATTGTGTATTATATTAAATACGATGACATGTATAACAAAAAAAATAATTTATTTGTGTGTGTATGTTTGTGTGTGTTTTTTGTGTGTGTGTGTATTAATACGTGAAAATGTTGAATTTTCATTTTAAAAGAAAAAACTGTAGAACTTTTTGAGTATGTGTGTCTGTGTGTGTATATATGTATATATATTATTTGCATTCATACATCATTCACGTACATCTTACTGTGAAAAGAGTATAACATTTATTTATGAATAATGTATTTCGTGATGAATGATGGATGGATGGATGGTTGGATGGACGAATGGATGGATGGTTGGATGGACGAATGGATGGATGGTTGGATGGACGAACGGATGGATGGATAGACGGATGGATAGATGGATGAATAAATAAAAGAACGGTTAAACGAATGGATGGATTGGTTGGATAGGTAAATGAATGGATGGATAAACGTTGAATGGACGGAGGAATGTATAAATGGCGTGTAAATAAATGAATGAATAAACGAATAAACGAACGAACGAATGAATGAATGATAGATGGACAAATGAATGAACGAATGAATGATGCATCGAAGAATGAATGATACACCGATGGATGAATGTTTGAACGAATGAATGATTGTAGAGACGGAATTGGCGATTTATAACTTATTTATTCAAATGGCTGTTTCAACGCATTTATCATCGTAGACTAGAGGTCTACGCTGGAACACATTTCTGTTCCCTCACCTGCCCCTCCTGAAAATAAATTTTACCTCACCCGCACCCATTCCCTCACAAGTCTTGCCTCACCTGCACCCATTTCCTCACATGTCTTCCCTCACCCGCACCCATTCCCTCACAAGTCTTCCCTCACCCACACTCATTCCCTCACAAATCCTCATTTTCCCGCACTCATTCCCTCAATAATTATATAATTATTAACAAAGATAATCAAAGTATCCTTAGTCAGAGTATTATGTAGTACATTCCATGTACAATTTTTATTATAAAAACAAACAAAAATACTGGTTAATAACAGTTAGTGTTTCAGTAAATTGTTTGTAAATATTTATGCCACTCCTTGACTGTTGAGAAAAAGCAGCTGATCAACAGATTCTGGTGAAAGTCTTGAGCGCCTATCTTCCAGTGTTCTTCCAGTGGTGGAGAAACATCTTTCTGAGGGTGTACTTGTTGCTGGAATACTTAGAAGCTGAGCAGCTACTGATGACAACTTTAGCCATGTTGAAGATTTAGATTTCCAGAAGTCTAGAATGTTGTTTGATATCTCTGTTGACTTCAGTGACTATCCAACTGATCCGATGGTTTTGAAGAGTTGAAACATATACTAATTTATTACGTAAAATAAATATAACGTTCTATAACCAAACGAATTGAATGAACCAAACAGCGCGCCACAGTAAAAGTCACATTGTAGATTAATTATCGCCCAAAAACAAATAGAATAAATAGTGATGCATAACACTTAATATAATTGGTTACGTGTTCTTTCCTGTTATCACAATGAATATTATTTAGCGTAATGCATATGCATCTGTGAGCTTGCTTAGCTTTAAACTTAGTAATAATTATCTAACTTTTTCAATTGCGTCGCTGTTCAAGCTATGAAGTTTCTCATTAATTTTCAACATTTTTGGAACGCCATCAAAGTCAAGTCAAATCTGCTTTTGCTTTTTCTGGTCTTTTTCTCTGGAACTCTCTTCCTACTTCTCTGACTACTCTCCATCACTTGCGAAGTTCAGAGCGGATCTCAAGACCCATCTGTTTTCAAAATTCATTGAGGAGCGCTGTTAAACATCGCGGAAATAGCGCTTTATAAGCTAATTGATTGATTGATGGATTGATTGAACTTCAAAAAATAACACCAAGCAAATAGTTAATTAATTCAAATATATGAATAAGCTGTGTGATACGCCAAATTCTGTACACAAAGATCAGCTTATTATGTGTCATGTATGCACGTGCCAAAGTTCTTTTACACAAAGATCAGCTTATAATGTATGCATGACCCATGTTATAGCACAAAGAAAATTGTCAAGCTCATCTCACAATTAGTGATGTTGTTATTATGTGTCATGTATGCCTAGCCTAACCTTTAACATACCATGTTCTTAAATTATGCGCTTATGTATGTATATATATATATATATATATTATGTAGCTATATATATATATATATATATATTATGTAGCTATATATATTTTTATATATTATGTAGCTATATGATCCGTCATATACAATTAAACAGTATATACACGTGCACAAGTTCTTTTACACAAAGGTTAGCTTATAATAATAATCTAACTTTTTCAATTGCGTTGCTGTTCAAGCTATGAAGTTTCTCATTAATTTTCAACATTTTTGGAACTTCGCCATCAAAGTCAATTCAACTGCGGTTTTCCCTCTAAAATTTTTCCCGTCCCGCGGTATTTCCCGCACGAAAAATATCCGCCCCGCGGTTTTCCCTCGCTTTTCATTCCCGCCCCGCGAGTTTCCCTCCAACTTCTGTTCCCAACCCGCAGTTTTCCCGCGAGTATTTGCGGGAAAATTTGCGGGAAATTTTCCATGTAGACCTCTATCGTAGACTCTCTGATAATAACCGTAATAATAATAAATTATAATTTATAATTTTAAAATAAATAATTTATTATTATTATTATCAGTACATCAACATTATAGTTTTGTACGGCTGAATGATTGAAGCTTATTCGTTGGTACTGAAATTTACAAGGGAGAGCTATTAATTATAATAATACAATGTTTATTGGGTGGGTACGTTAATACAAATTTATTATGTATTTTATGTTAGGCATGTGTGTGCGTGTGTGTGTGTGTGCGCGTGTGTATACGATAAACTAGATATTGCTCTTAAAATGATACTCTCGTTTATATGCACTGATACACAAACAAACGCTGTATGTATGTATGTATGTGTATATATGTTTATTTGGTTTGTTGGCTTGTTTGTATACTTTTTTTGGTATGTTTGTTGGCTTATTTGTATATTTTTTTTGTATATTTTTTTTGGTATGTTTGTACGTATGTACGATGGAAATGTTGACCTATTGACAATGAAAGCTATAAAAAAGAGCAAAGAATGGCTTAAGATAATTCCGTAGGATAATCATGTGTGTGTGTGTGCGTGCATGTGTGTGTGTGTGTGTGTGTGTGTGTGTGTGTGTGTGTGGTATGTGTGTGTTGTGTGTTTGTGAATTGTCAACGCTAAGTATTGTTAGTTAAGTTTGTGGTGTTGTTGGTCGCTGTACGTGTATTGTCGTCCGTGATGATTAAATTGATTTAGTTTGAAGAAAAATCGGAAATAAATGACTTGAAAAAACGAGTTTGATATTTATTAATTAATCAGTTGATTGGGGGGCGTCATGGCTCAATAATTAAAGGCGCCTAATCTTGCTGCTGCAGTAACTGGGTTCGAATGCAATAAAATCCCCGCTTATTGTGTATGATGCGTGGTTTTTACGGGTATTCATATACGCTTTGTGTGTTTGCCGTCGGTGAAATATTTTGGCTTCAATTTATCATCAGTCTTTTTATCTTCTTCGTCATCGTCATAAATTACCGCAACAACAACAACACCATCGTCATCTTCATCATCTTCATCACTATCATCACCAACAGCAACAACGTCATCCTCATCTTCATCGTCAACAACAACACCATCATCATCACCACCAACAACAACTACATCATCATCTTCTTCATCACCAACAACAACTGCATCATCATCTTCTTCCTCATCAACAACTACATCTTCCTCGTCTTCGTCATCATAAACAACATCATATTCTTCTACATCTACGTCTTCAACAACAACAACATTTACGACAACGATGACGTCATTCAATCAAAAGATACGAAAGAAAAAAAAACCTTGCCACTATCATCGTTATCCTCATGAAAATGCTGATGATACAATTATCAAGACCAATAAAAACTATTCTATCGAAATGATGACGTTACTATTTATGATCAGAAAGCATGTGTATGTCAGTGTCTATATATGTGTGGATGTGTGTATGTGTATGTACGTGTTGTTGTATGTGTATGAATGTGGGTATGTATTTCTAAAAATAGAAATACTTTTTAAACTATAAAATCTAAAAATATATTCTACAAAACACAAAAAAAAATGTCTTACATTCATTGTATACTTGCTTGTTTGTTTGTACATGCGTGTATGTAGTTAGCTTTTAGGCATGTGTGTATACAAGAGTGTATGTGTATTTATAAAAATGTGTACAAAACTGGGTAGTCTCCAATAAATCAGATACAAACAATTGCCATTTAATGAGAATCACTCCGTAGAATGATCTAGATAAACCGAGTTCAACAATCCACAATCCTGTATTGCCCATTAAATATTGATTATGCGATTGCAAATTTGTTTTTAGATTTTTTGTATGTATGTATGTATGTGTGTGTGTGTTTGTTTGATTGTTTGATTGTTTGAGTGTATGTATGTTTTTACTTTTGTTTGTTCGTCTGTCAATGTTGCTGTTTCTGTTTTGCGTTGGAAAATGTGTTTTTACATTTACTTGTGTATGTTTTTGTTTATACTTTCGGTGTTTATTTGCATGGCTGTGTGTATGTGTATATATTTTTGTTTGCGTGTGTGTGTATGTTTATTTCTGTATGTACGAAATTTGAATGACTGCATGTTAGACTAATTGAGCTACGAACGAACTGCAAAATATTTGACAGTTTGTTGTTTGTATGTTGGTTCGTGAGAACACTAGTTCGTTTGTTTGTTAGTTAATACGTTTGTTCATGTTTGTTTGCTGACGCGTTCGTCTGTTCAATCATTTGCATGTTTATCGAAGTTCACACGTTCGTTTGCTGATATGTTTGTATGTTTTTTGGCATGTTTTCTTTTATAAATGCAAATTTTTTTTTAATATGGTCAAAAGTGTGACAGTGAAAAAATCGATGCACCCACGCGTTCTTCTTCAAAAGTGCTTCTTTTAAGTTTTTATCTCGTTACATAATTTTCAATTTTCAAAAAAAAAAAATTTAATCGATTAGTTCGTGATTAAGTCCGCTGTTTCTCTCAATTCTGGCAACATAGGTGAATGAATGAATGGATAAATGAATGTACAAACGAACGAATGAATGAACAAACGAACGAATGATGCAGGTCTAATTGCTTTCTTATTAACGCCTCTTTAAAAAATTTTCTTTTTCACTTTACAAAGTTTATTCCATTCTCTCTCTCTCTCACTCTCTCTCTTGTTTTTTCTCTTCCTTTATCTCTCTCTCTCTCTCTCTCTCTTCTCTCTCTTGTTTTCTCAACCTTTATTCACTTCCAACTTTTCATTCAATCGATGATCAAACATTTGCTACTAACAAATTACAAATATTATTATTAACTGTCTTCTTAATGAAACAGTTTAATCCTGTTCAAATCATAATAAACAAATAATAATAACAATAATAAATAGCAATAATTATGACAATTATTATAGCTAATTATAGTCGGGCGACCACAACTTGAACGATTTGTCGTAGGTAGTGGTGGCAATGTACTTGTCGTCAGCTGACACGTCACATGACATGACCCTGCCCTCGTGACTTGCCAGGGCCTGGGAGGGCGACCAATTAGGGTGGTTCCAGATCTGGGTGCATGGATCAATAAATGAATGAATGAGTAAATGAATGAATGAATGAATTTAATGATGGATGGATGGATGAGTGAATTGATTTAAGAATGGGATAAACAATGGGGGTGAATTGATGGTGTTATGAAATTTATCAATTCTGAATGAATTAAAGATGAAGGAAGGTACGAGTAATTAATTTAATGAATGAATGAAATAAATGAGTAAAACGTCTAGCACCTTTGCGGTCTTGTCATAAGAAGAGCTAACTAAATACAGACCTGTGTTCCCTGGAAAATGAAAATATAACAATACATATAATGCATTTGTCTATTCCTTCTTTCATTCCCTCATTCAATAATTCAGTCATTCATTTTTCACTCACTCCTTCACGCATTCATTTTTCACTCATCGTTCACTCACTCATTCACTCAAACATAATCAGGACTAACGTTGAAACCTGACTCTAGACACGATGTTAGTATGGGCGGGTATGGTATACAGGCAGCCTCTCTGCCTCATATCCCAGATCTTCACTGAATGGTCCTCGCTACCCGTTGCTGCCTGGTACCTAGTGGCGATGAAGATGACGACGACGATGTGGCAGACATGATGATGATGATAGGGCAGTGATGATGATGATTGGGCAATGATGATGATGATGATGGGGTAGTGATGATGATGATGATAGGGCAGTCATGATGATGAAAGGGCAGTGAAAATGATGATGATGATGGGGTAGTGATGATGATGAGGTAGTGATGATGATGATGATGAGGTAGTGATGATGATGATAAGATAGTGATGGTGGTGATGATGATGTGGCAGTGGCGATGATGATGACGTAATTTCACCTACGTCATCAGCATTTTAATCATCATTAACACCAATCAGATTCCTCATTGTCATCACAATCATCGTTACAACCGGCATCATCGTCATCATCATTACCATCATCATTACCATCATCATTACCATCATCATTATCATCACAGCCAGCAGCATCATCACAACCAGCATCATCATCACAACCAGCATGATCATCGTCGTCATCATCACCGACCCGTTTGGCGAGAAGTCAAGGGTAAGGATGGACTTGAGATGGCCCTCCAGGAACATGACACACCTCCCAGTCCGCAAGTCCCACAGCCTCCCAAACGAATCCGTTGCACTGATGGGAGGTGATGATGATGATGATAAGATGATGATGACGATGATGATAATGATAAGGATGATGATGATAACGAAGGTGATGACGATGGAATGTTCACTACAATGATGATGATGGTCACTAGGATGATGATGATGACCATAAGAGTGAAGGTAATGATTATAATGATAACGATGATGATACACACTCACATGCATGCACACACACACGCACACGCATGCACACACAATCCTACCCAGTAAGAGCTAGCGAACCATCACACTGGAATGATATATCATAAACTGGACCGCAATGACCTTCTTGATGCAGAATTTCTTCTTTAAGTTCAAGGTCAAAAAAACGCCAGGAGCTATCAAAACTGATTCAGGAGTGTGTTGTGTATGCGTCGTGAGCGTGTGTGTATGTGTGAGTATGTGTGAGTGTGTGTGTCTGTGTGAGTGTGTGTGTGTTCAGCTTCTTAAATTGTTTCATACATACAAGCGTATTACGATAAATTCAATTAATAGCAATACTAACAATAGTAAATGTCAATTCACACACACGCGCGCGCACACACGCACGCACACACATACACACGCACACACCAACCAACGACTACATAAACTGACCAGCAAGTAGCCAAGAATTTGCCCGATGGATGGAAGACTGCCTTGGTCACCCTGTTTGGTTCATGGCCTTCGATGCTGTCCATCGGTGTCTCACTGGTTAAATAACAATTATCATAATTAATTCTTATAGGTTAAAGGTCATTGTCTCTCTCTTATTGTTATTATTATCAATATTGTAACAATGTTATTGGCTACAGTTAGATGATGCGTGAAGAAGTTAACAGATACACATTCATATAAATAGGCAAATACGTTAACAAACAAGTGTATAATCAAACAAACAAGTATAAAAACAAACAAGTATAATAACAAACATACAAACAAACATACAAACAAACCAACATACATACAAACAAACAAACATACAAACAAACATACAAACCCCTTAAGAGACCATAACTTCACAGTGCCATCGTGTGCACATGTAGCTAGATTGCAGCAATCTTCAGATATGGATAGAGTTGACTGTGGGTGGAATGACACACAGCCGACTTGAGTGCTGTGGCCTGAGACAAAAAACATACAAACATATATACAAAAGTATAAACATGCATACAAACCAACATACAACAAACAAAATAAACATACATACAAACAAACGGACCAACCTAAAAACATAACAACGAATATAATACACACAAACAAACAAAACATACATCTAAATGACAGTCATACACATAAAAATTGACATAATAAAACAAACTTTCAAACATACAAACAAGTGAACAAGCCAACAAACGAACGAACAAACAAACAGACAAACAAACAGACAGACAGACAAACAAACAAACCTCTGAGAACCCTTAACTCTTCACATTCAGGTATAGACCAGAGTTTGCAAAGTCCATTCCTATTAAACAAAGTATTCAATCAACAAAATCGAGACAAAACGAAACGACTGCAAACGAAACGAGACGTCCTAAAACGAGACGAGACGTCTCGAAACGAGACGAAATTTTATTGAGACAAAAATTCCTTGAAAAAAAAAACAACATAACGTCACAGGGCCTACTATAAGAGTCTAAACGTCTAAAAATATTAATGAAATATAATTATATTATACAACAAAAACAACAATCATAAATTATAAATAATAATAATAATAATAATAATAATATTATTATTATTATGAATAATAAATAATAAAATAAATGCTTACCACGAGGCAGTAGCCAGTAATGCACTGTTAGGTGAGAATGAGCAGTAAGATATTGGCCTGGAGTCTGCTATTTGGCTGAATATTAATGACGTCATCTGTATGTGTGTGTGTGTATTTGTTTGTGTATGTGTGTGTAAATATTTATGACGTTTATGTGCGTTTAATTAAAAAAGTACGTGTTTGTAAATGCGTGTTTGTAAGAGTGTGTTTATGTGTATTTTTTTGTTTTAAGTAGGGATGCACCGAAGTTCGGCCCCGGCTCCGGCCAAAATCCGGCTTTTTTCAAATCCGGTCGAATCCGGCCCCAGCCGGATTTGGTGGCCGGATTTAAGCGTCTATCAACTTTTAAAAATGTTAAAAATAGAAAAAAAAATTTTATTGAATTCAATTAATTTTATGTCAATAAGTTAAAGGCTAAGGCTAAGCTAAAGGCATACATGACACATAATAACAACATCACTAATTGTGAGGTAATCTGGACAATTTTCTTTATGCTATAACATGGGTTATGCATAAATTATAAGTTGATCTTTGTGTAAAAGAACTTGTGCACGTGTATATACTATATATTGATAATTGCACATGACGGATCATATAGCTACATAATATATATATATATATATATCTTAATATATATATATATAAAGATATATATATATATATATATATATATTTAGAGAGAGAGAGAGAGAGAGAGAGAGAGAGAGAGAGAGAGAGAGAGAGAGAGAGAGAGAGATACATAAGCACATAATTTAAGAACATGGTATGTTAAAGGTTAGGCTAGGTATACATGACACATAATTACAACATCACTAATTGTGCGGTTAGCTGGACAATTTTCTTTGTGCTTTAACTTGGGTTATGCAAATATGCATAAATTATAAGCTGATCTTTGTGTACAGAATTTGGCATATCACACAACTTATTCATATATTTGAATTAAATAACTATTTGCTAGGTGTTATTTTTTGATGTTCAACATGTAGATAACCGTAAATGTATTTTTTCTAACGTATGTAAAACGGTAACTAAAATCCGGCTCCGGCCGGTTTTTGAATTTTAAATCCGGCCAAGTCCGGGCCCGGCCGGATTTGAAAAACCTGAATCCGATGCATCCCTAGTTTTAAGTGAGTGTGAATGTATGTGAACACACACACAAACACACACAGATATACAGAGCATTCGTTGAATGCACATGAACCAATACATCACACGGGGGTACCCTTGTATTCAAACACGTTATCTGCAATATCACAGCCGAGCATCTTAGCCAGTGTACCACTACCATTTTACAAGAAAATCATTAAAATGAACTGACCCTATTACGTTTGAATAGATCTTGTAGCTTAGTGTTGACAACACTGGTCGGTAGAAGTTTCTCTTCTTTCGCAATCTTTATCCTTTCAGCTGCTCTGTTCAGTTTTTTTAAATATAATTAATTTCATAATTTATTTATTAATTATGTAATAATATATTATGGCGTTTAATAATAAATTTGTAATAATTTATAGTGTAATGTGTTATACTATCTATTAATTTGTATTTCAATCCCAACAACAATTATTCATCATCATCCACACGGTCCTTTTCATCTTAGTCATAGTCATCATCATCATCACAACAACCATCTTCGTCGTCATCATCATCGTCACCACCATCACCATCTTCATCATCACCATCACTATTGTCATCACCGTCCTCATCACCATCATCATCATCACCATCGTCATCATCATCAAAACCCCCAACCTGATTATGGAGTAGTTAGCTATCCAGGCTCGTGCCTCTTGCAATGAAGTCTTACCCTCGTGGTACCATGTTACCTTTTCCGACTGTCACATGATGGTGATCATGGTGGTAATTTATGATTATGATGATAATGCTATTGATTAGGATGATGATGAATATGATGATAATTATGGTTATGACGATGATTATGAACTTTAACCTCTTGTTTAGCCTTCTTAGGGGCCAGCTCCTCTTTCTTTTTCTTCAGAAGATTCTGTCCCCTAAGGGCCAACAACTCCCTCAATCGATCTCTCCTGTCAGCCGGGCCTTCACCGAAATAACCTAAAAAAAAAAGAAAATAAATTTAAATTTTATTTGTGATAGATTTATTTAATTTGACAAAATAATATGAAGATGCTGGTAATTATTATATTATTTTAATTGTTATATTATATTATGATAATATAATTCCTTGTTGGTTAGTACTAAAACTAACAAATTGGTTCTCCCAATTGTCTCAGCTGGGCTTTCACTTCCGAGTCATCAGTAGAGACGTGTATAAGACGAGCCTGAATAAGTTATCAAATAATTTATAAATACTTTACTTTAATATAATTAAGAAGTTAAATTATAAAAAAAAATTTTTATACACTAACCTTCTTACGTTTCTCATATTCCTCCAGCTGTTCTTGCCTAACTTCACTATCCATAAAATCTGTTGTTTCCAAGACTTCATGTTTGCTGATTTTTGCAGCCTCGCTGGCCGCACTGTTTCGGATTGAGGCGATATTCTCTTCTAAACTACCGTAATGAATAATTTTATTCCTAATCTGCCTAGGTACCATTTCTTCATCGTCAGACATTTTTTTGTATTTTCTATTTTCTCTGACCAACAAACAAAAAGTACGGTGTAGATATGGTAAAAATATTAATATACGTTACCAAACTAGTTGTATTAAACTTATTAGAAATTACGAAAATTCAACCGGTCTAGATTGTTATTTTGAATTATCGCTTTTGCTCGGCAAAGAACTAATAACGTTAAAAACAAATTTTATCTTATTCTTTGGAAGGATCAATTGACTAAATTTATTAAATGCGCCTTTTTCAAGCAAATAAAAAACAAATTAATAATTTAAAAAATATTTATGGTTAAATTTTTACTAAAATTTCGATAAACTTCGAATTTTAGAATTTTTAGGTATTAGCATGGAAGCACTGAACTTTTACACTATATGTGTATATAATATATACATATATATATGTATATATATTTGGTTAGCTTGGTGATGCTTTAACAGTTGATAGCAAAACTTTTTCAAAACTTTATTGTTTTGGAAATTATTTCAAAATTATAAAAAAAAAAATATCTTATTTAAATTTTTAAATATGGTCACTTTTGATAAATCTCATAAGGGTAAATTTAGTAGTAAAAAGTTTAAAAATGTTACTGCAACTTGTACAACTACTGCTACTACTACTACAATTGCTAATGATGAATTTTCTGGCCTCAAAAATTTCATATCTGATCCATATAATCTGCTCATTATATTCACTGGTTAATATAATATATAATTAGTGGTTAATTATTATATTTTTTGAAAAATAAATTTATTTGACCCATGTTTCAATTGTTTATTATTTATTTAATAATCAAATTATTATTATCAATTCACTGTTAAATTGTTTACTGTACTTTAATATAGTAATAATATACAATGTATATATATATATATATATATATATATGTATGTATATAATGATACATAGTTATATTTAGTATATTTTTGTATTGTACTATACTATGGTATACAATACAATAAAATTATTTTTAATAAAGCAATTGACATATATTAAAAAGTGTTTTATGAATTCAATTTACTAATAAATTTTTTTATTTTAATCTTTACAGCTCTCACCATTGCTCTCCTTCATAGGTTAGTTAAAAAAAAACACACCAATTAATACAACCCCGCATAAATTGATTATACACAAATACCTAATACCATACGAATACCTAATTCAATACAGATACCTATCATAGAATTCCATATATTCAAATGTCAAACATACAAATGTTAAACATACATATATCTTGCTTAATTCTAATACAAACTAACAAAAATCTATAGATCTTACCAAATATATAGATGCAAAATTCACCAATAAAGCCCATTATACAAATACCTAATATAAATAGTACCTGATACAATACAAATACCAAAGCAAAGATATGAACAAGATGGCATGCACTAATACACTAATTACTTTTGCCTTATGAATAATTGATTGGTGCTGGTATGAGAAAAATAATAATAACAATAATAATAAAATTGATTATTATGACAATAATAAAAATGTTTTATATTTAATTGTGAAAAACAATTTTTTTTTTCTTTTATTGCAAAAAACCTATCAAATATTGATAATGATGATGATGACGACGATGATAATGAGGATGATAGTAGTGCCTACAACGACTATGATGATGATGATGATGATGATGATGGTAATAAAAATATCAAAATTATTTGCTATATTAAGATTTCTGACGGATTGAGACTGTCAGAAATGCAATTATTGATGAAAATCACAGCATGTTCCGCATTAGTTTAACTTCCTACATATATATATATATATATATATATGTATATATATATATATATATATATATATATATATATATACCCAGTAGAATACCTAGTATACGCATGTACATTATACGTTCGTTGGTATTAACGCCAATTTAATTACACTCAAATTAAGGTAATGCTATAGATGGATTATTAAATCAATGCGTGCTAGCCACGCATAGCCTACATACGTGTGTGGGTGCGTGTGTGTGTGTGTGTGTTTTTGTGCGTGTGTATGTGTGTGTTTTTGTGCGTGTGGGCTTGGTGAATCGTAAATCGCGGAAACAATGGCTCAAGATTATCGAACAACGATACGTGTTAAAGTTAAATTTTGTTGTTGTTGCTGTTGTTGACGTTGATGATGACTTCATTGTTGATGGTTTTGCTGTTGTTGTTGCTGCTGTTGCTGCTGCTGTTGTTGCTGCTAGTGGTATTATTATTATTATTATTGTTGCTAATTTTCAGTATATTTTGTATCGCCCGTATTTGTAGGTACTAGCTTTTATTCATCCGAACACCTTGAGAAGATTTAATCAAGTAAAAAATGAGTGTCCGTTCGTTCGGAGCCTAAGTCTTATTGATAGTGTGTACGTTTGTGTGTGCGTGTGTGTGTGTGCGCGCGCGTATGTTTTTGTATTCGTGTTAGTATTTGTATGTGTATGTCTTTGTGTGTGCGTGTGTGTGTATATATATATGTATATATATATATATGTATGTATTAGCATGCATTCATTTAAGAGTAATAAACCATTTCGACGCGCGTATCTTATTAATATACTCAATACGCTTGCGTGTTTATGCATAAGTTCATGCGCGTACGTGTTGAGTTATTAAAAGATAATAATACATAATGCCTATTATACACAATACCTTCCTATTCTTTGCATTTTATACCTGCTCCTAGAAGTTATTTTGATATAAAAATCGCTGCATAAATGCAGATGTTGCCATATTTCTCCACTCGCAAACGTGCGTGTGTGCGTGCATGTGTGCGTGCATGCGTGTGTGTTTATTTGTGTACGTGTACTTCTGTATGTAAGCTTGTTCACATATATCTGTATATGTTTACGTTTAATACACAATTGTACTGTACACGTATGTATGTTATTTTTGGTAGATGCATGTATGTTTTTGTGTGTTCGTGTATATACGTATGTTTGCCTAGGTGTGTTTATATCTGCGTTTTTTGTATTTTTCATTGTGAAACTGTTACCATCTGATTTGTTTATCTATTGACTGTTGGAAGCTATTCAAATTTATGTTACACTTGCTTGTGACGATGACGATGATGATGACGACGGGGATGGTGATAACGATGATAATGATGACAACAATATTGGTGACGTTGATGATGATTATGAAGATGACGACGACGATATTGATAAGGCTAGTGGGGCTGAAAATAAAACTCTTTTATTTATTCATCCTTACATTCTTTCATCCATTCATATATCTATATATTCATCCATTTAGCTATTCATTCATTCATCCGTTCATTCACTTGTTTTTTCGTTCATTTTTCCATCCATCCGTCCATCCATTATATTTTTCCTTCTGCAGAGAACCGGATGTTTGAGCGTTTATCTTCAGGCCCCAATTAGCGCCAAGACTCTATTTATTATCTTTCCACTTCCATTGTTATTAATGTCGCTTACACACACACACGCACGTACGCACACACACACACGTACGAACACACGCACGTACGCACACACACATACAAATGAACATGTTGACAAGCTTAAAATCCACACCATAGAACTACTGCCATTTTTCTTAATAATTTTATTTAACCATACTCGTTTACTGTTACACTATTAGGAAGTGCTTTTGAATTATCCAAAATGACCATTAAGTACGTGTGTACTTAATGTTATTCTTACGTGCAGAGTGTACTTTCAAGTACTAAGTACACTAGTACCTAGTAAGTACTTTTCATATAGTTGGCTTCTGGAGTTGCGCACATTTCGTAATTTTTGTTGTGAGACTAGTTCTTCTACAAATATATAAATATGAGTTTTATCTATCTATCTGTATGTTTGTCTATCTATCTATCTATCTATCTATCTATCTATCTATCTATCTATCTATCTATCTATCTATCTATCTATCTATCTATCTATCTATCTATCTATCTATCTATCTATCTATCTATCTATCTATCTATCTATCTATCTATCTATCTATCTATCTATCTATCTATCTATCTATCTATCTATCTATCTATCTATCTATCTATCTATCTATCTATCTATCTATCTATCTATCTATCTATCTATCTATCTATCTATCTATCTATCTATCTATCTATCTATCTATCTATCTATCTATCTATCTATCTATCTATCTATCTATCTATCTATCTATCTATCTATTTATCTGTCTGTCTGTCTGTCTGTCTATCTATCTATCTATCAATACAACAGACAGACCTGCACATACAGATTCGACGATACGCAGACAAACTGGAAGATAAGAAGCGTTCCTCCTTTAAAAGCATATTAATGTTTCCAAATAAATTATCCAACTCCACACCATTAATTTAATTTGTTTATGGAGTACGCTGTCTATTTCCTTTTTTTTCTTTTTATTTATTTTAACGTATTTCATTTTCCGTAAGAAGTGTGTGTGTGCACTACATGTAGGTATGTATGTGTGCATGTGTGTGTATATATGTTTCAGAAATAGTTTTTATGTGTGTGTATGCATGTATGTATGTGTGTGTATGTGTTTTTTTGGTTGTACATATGTGTAAGTATTTATATACACTGGCATGTAAAATCGCGTCTGTTTAACTAGGTACCTATCGTTTAGGCCGTTCACATTTTCGTCATCATCGTCATTAGTATTATTGAGAGTCTTTGTTATCATGTTGCAATAATCACCTTAGCCAAAATCATCATCCCAATCATCATCACAATAATCACAGTCATCATCACAATCGTCATCGTCATCATAATCACAATCATTATAATTATCATCATCATCACAGTCATCATCACAATCCTCGTCATCATCACAATCATCATCATAATTATTATCATTATCATCATCTTCATCATCATCGTCATCGTCTTACTCGTCACCATTATCTCCTCCTCCTTATCATCATTATGACTGATCCATCGATCATCCTTTTTTTTCTCAGCGCCCACAAATACATTGACATCATTTATTTTATAAAAATACACACGCACATACACACACACACGCACGCAAACATACATACACACACAAACTCACCCACACACAAATATGTAAAAATACATTGATTGATTGATTGATTGATTGATTGATTGATTGATTGATTGATTGATTGATTGATTGATTGATTGATTGATTGATTGATTGATTGATTGATTGATTGATTGATTGATTGATTGATTGATTGATTGATTGATTGATTGATTGATTGATTGATTGATTGATTGATTGATTGATTGATTGATTGATTGATTGATTGATTGATTGATTGATTGATTGATTGATTGATTGATTGATTGATTGATTGATTGATTGATTGATTGATTGATTGATTGATTGATTGATTGATTGATTGATTGATTGATTGATTGATTGATTGATTGATTGATTGATTGATTGATTGATACTAATTCATTTGTTTATTTCTAGCTTACATGTCTGTATACGCATAAATAAATGAATAGATTAATAAATAACATAAAGATACACACTCTAAGAGAATTATTCACTTTCAAGTATATTTACACGTACACACGCACACACACACACACACACAAGTAAATACTCATATTTACACACATACGCACAGCGCACACGAACGAGTTGTATGAAGTTTATTACCAACTGTTTTCAAAATGATGTCTTTGTATTTTTTTTTCATTTTCATCAACTTTTGATTTCATTAATCAACTTTTCATATTTAATTTTAGATTAAATTCATCTCGTTTCGTTTCATTTCGTTTCGTTTTTTATGTGGCAAAATAAAAATATGTCACCTTAGTTTGTAACTTTTGTGTTCACCTTTTGTACGTGTTTGAAAATGTCTGATTTTGATTTACAGCATATTTCAATGTGAACTTTCATGTATTTTTGATGAATATACAATACAAGTGTATGTGTGTTTTTATGTGTGTTTGTGTATGTGTGAGTGAGTGTGTGTGTGTATATATGCTTATACAGATTCCTCCCCAAATCACACATACACACACACACACACTCATTGCTATCTTCGTTATAATTGATTTAGACCGAATCCTGATTCATCTTTTCATATTAAAGGGAGAGAGCCGACGAACTTGAAACTGCCACCGCACACCGGCACAACCTTGATCAACACGTACACACGACGCAAACACGCACGTACATAAACACGCACGTACATACACATGCACACACATTTTTGGTATAAATAGTTTGCCAACTTTTAAACTTAAAAACAAAATCCACAAATTAATTTCCTTCGGAAAATTTTTCCACTAGGCAAGACAAACATTTCAAAGTCGAAATAAATCAAAACATGGAAAAAGCGTTGACCGAAAAAGAATTGAAAACAAAAACAAAAAAGCAACAACAACAAACAACAACTACAACAAACAACAACAGCATCAACAAAAACACCAATGACAACATCCGCAAGTCATTAAAAACGATACTACATACATCTACCCACGCGCATGCTTAACTTTTCACTTTCAGCGTGATTGAATGAAATAACGAAGAATAAATTAAAAAAAGTTAATTAAAAAAACAATATATATAATAATAATAATTATAATAATGACAACAGTAATAATGATGGTAGCAGTGGCAAAAATATAAAATGACGTCACTGTAAAAATATTAGAATCTCATTCGACTTCATCAAATGTAAGCTGCAGCGAATGTTAAAACTGAGGTATAAATTTCTAAAAAATAAAAACACACGCCATCGTCGTCGTCGTCTTCCTCCTCCTCTTCATCATCTTTTGCCGTCGTCTTCATCTTCACCATCGTACACATCCCTTTATTCACCATCGTCGTTGTCGTCACCACCTTAGTAAACACACACGTAGACACTTGTATGCACATGCACACATACAGACTTATATACACACTCATACACACTACACGCATATACACACTCATACACTCGTACACACACTTACACACACACACACACGTACACACGTACATACACAAAAGCCTAACTCCAATAACAACGGCGGCATATGTTGAAGTAGATTTTCAATGAAATTTTCTCTTGTTATGTTACCAGACTCGCTATTACGTGTTACGTGTCTGCGTGGATGTTCGTGTGTGTGTACGTGTGTGTGTGTGTGTTCGTGTGTACGTGTGTGTGTCTGTATGTATGTGTTTTGTGTAGTTCGAATTCTTTTAATATAATAGCGCAAGATGGTAAGTGCAAATAAGTGTATTTGTTAAGAGTATTATGTTTTTGTGCGTGTGTGTGTATGTGTATGTGTACGTGCGCTTGAATGTATGCGCGTGTATATCTTTTTATGTTTTTTAGTTTGTTCTTACGTTCGTCTCAGTGCTTTCAATGTAGTTTTATTCTAAATGAGATGGAATATTTTCTACTGCGATCCCAGGATTGTTTCTTTTTTTGAAACATTTTTCATCTAGTGGCGGATCTGGATCACGGGATTGAGCCATGGACTTTCCGTTGGGAGCAGTATTTTTATTAAAAGTCAGTAAAACTCAGTTTTTAGTGAAAAAATTGCCGAAAATTGACGTATTAAGCAAAAATAGACTGACTGGCCAGTAATTATTAGGTACTGTGCACTATAGTTCGATTTTTTGTGGCGAATTTAAAAACGTTGTCTATAACCGCTCTTATCCATCCATCATCATCATTATCACCATCGTCATCATCAGTATCATCATCATCATTTTCATACCATCATCATCATTTTCATATCATCATCTTCATTTCATCATCGTCGTCGTCATTTAGGTCGATTTGTTTTTTTTTCTCGTTGCATTGATCGGTGAGGCAACGCCCCATGTAGCAACGTGATTTCAATTAAATTTTTTAATGTATTAATTTTTAATTTCAAGTTAATTAAATTAATTAATTAATTGATTGACTAACTATTTAATAAATAAATTTATTAGTTAGTTAGGTTAATTAATTTTTAATTTATTAGCAATTCCGTTCGTTTTGATTTGATGTTTGTCAATCGAAATGATGGCTTTAGTTGTGGTTTATATTCGTTTTTTATGTTTTTTATATTGTTTATTGTTAGTTTTTTAAATTTTAAACGTTATCTTGTTTTTCTTATTATATTTGTCTGTTTAGTTTTTTTTCCTTTTTCGTCCGTCATTTTCTTTGAATTTTTCAATTATATTTTTTTAAAAAAACTTTTCTTTCGCTCTTTTTTTCTCTCTCTCTCTCTCTTTCTCATCTACCTATCTATCTGTCTGTCGGTCTGTCTGTCTGTCTCTCTATCTATTTTTCTATCTATATATCTGTCTGTCTATCTATCTATCTTTTCTCATTCTTCTTCTACTTTACTTGTTCTATTTTTGGCTTGTTCACACCGTCCATTCTCTTTCTTCTCTCTTTCTCTTTCTGCGAGTCTAAAAAATGAAATATAATAAATGAAATGAGAGAGAGAGAGAGGAGAGAGAGAGAGAGAGAGAGAGAGAAAGCGAGTGATGCAATCATACATAAATACATGCATACATACGCGTCACCAGCAAGCACCTCATACATATTTTATATTTGTTTTGGACGTCGCAATTTTTTTTCTCTCTCTTTTTTTTCTCAAAAAAAACTTTCCTCTTCCCGCCAAAAAAACACCGCGAATAAAAATAATAAAAAAAATGACACAGGGAGGTCAAGAGGTCAGATCTAAAATGAAATTATTTTATGCATTTTTGGCATGTTTTCTTCGTGGTTTAGCTGTTTTTTGTGTCATCCTTCTCTCCTTCTCCCTCTTTCTTTTGTCTTTCTGTCTCGTGTGTATGTGCGTGCATGTGTGTGTGTGTGTGCGCGCGCGCGTGTGTGTGTGAGTATGTGTGTGAGTATGTGTGTACGTACGTACCAAATACAATACATGTAAATACACAATACCAAATTATTCGAATACACGATACCGAAATACCAGAAACCACATCGCGAATATGTTTGAGAGTGACAGGCACTTTTCGCATCTCAGCACTTTGGAGAGGGAGCTAACTTTCAGAACGGAAATGGTTCGTTTACTGGTGTTATTATTATTATTATTGTTTGTTGTTGTTGTTATTATTATTATTATTGTTGTTATTATTTTTATCATTTTTGTTGTTATTGATGTTTTGATTATTTACACATTGTCGCGACGCTTCTTATGTCAAATTGACAATTTCATCTTGCATTGTTTTTCGCGACTTAAGAAAAATTTGTAAAGTTTATTTGAATAAGGAAAAACTGAACCATGAACATTTAAGTAAGTACATATGTTTTCACGTTCTTATACCTCCGCACGTAAAAATTGAGTAACACACACACACACACACACACACACACACACACATGCTGACTTGTCTACTACATACACACATACAAACACACACGCACGCACATTCAAACACAAAATAAAACCAAAAAATTAAACAAAAGCAGAGACAAAATGAAAACAAAACCGCGAAAAAAGGAAGACAAACAAGAGTCTGCGAAAAAGATAATAGCATTCAATCATGTTCATGCCAAGATGTATCGATAGTCCGGCAAAAAATACTTAATGGATTACTTCCCTACTTTATATTTGTTTATCTCTGAGTACGAGATTTTGTTTTTGTATTGTATTGTTTTTGTATTTTGTTTTGCTTGTCTAAGTTAAGATTTTGTATTGTATTGTTTTTTGTTTTGCTTGTATATGTTAAGTTTTTGTATTGTATTGTTTTTGTATTTTGTTTTGCTTCTCTATGTTAGTGTTTTAAGATTTTGTTTTTGTATTATATTGATTTTTTATTTTGTTTTGCTTGTCTATGTTAAGATTTTGTTTTTGTATTGTATTGTATTGTTTTTGTATTTTGTTTTGCTTGTCTATGTTAAGATTTTGTTTTTGTATTGTTTTTGTATTTTGTTTTGCTTGTCTATGTTTTGTTTCGCTTCTGTTTGTGATGTTTGCTTCGTCTATATACTACTTTATATTTTCCAATTTTTAGGTTTTGTTTTTGAGGGGGCGAATTTTTTCTCGGCCAAGTTTGAATAAAAAATTTCGTTACAACGTTACAAACTGTTAAACATTCAAAATTCATACATACATACACCCATACACACACACACACACACCCGCACACACACACACACACACTTACATACATACATACATACATACATGCATATATCATACGCATGGATTCAAAATACATATGATGTGTCCCAAATTTATGAAATGGATACAAAAGTATATCTTGCAAATACTCAATCACACTTTCTAATTACACACAACTTAACAAAAACACCTTCTAAGCACACGCATTTACATGAGGGTATCTGTTATTACTCATTAATTCCCTATAGATACACAGAAACACGAAAGAATGCTACATAAACACACGCAAGCTCACTTACAAATAGGCACAAATAAACGAACACACACAAGAATACGGGCAAATACAAAGAGGGACTCTGAAACATAAACTAACATATTGAGACATGTATGCATACAAGCAATTACTTTCACGCTCCGCTGCATCCTGTAACACTTGAGATGCTCTCTAGATAAATCCACTTTTTCATATCTTTCCCTTTCTCTGTGTTTGCGCGTGTGGTTGTGTGCGTGTTATGTGTGCGTGTGTGGTTGTGTGCGTGTGGTTGTGTGCGTGTGGTTGTGTGCGTGTGGGAAATGTTTATGGTAATCTGCGTGTTTGCTTGTGTTAGTTTTTGTATATACTCTATCATTTATTTTTATGTTTTTCCTTTTTCTTTCTTTCTCTCTCTTTGCTTTCTCTCTCTCTCTTTCTCTTATCTCTCTCTCACTTTTTTTTCTTTCTCTCTTTTTTTTCCTCTTTCTCTCTCTTTTACTTCTTTTTCAGTATCATACCCACTCACAATTCATCACCATTTTGTCTTCGTTTCCAATTTTTTTCATACTCGTTTTTTGTCACATTCTTTCTGTTTTAAATCATTACCATCATCGTCGTCGTCGTCGTCATCCGTAACAGACAATTTGATGAAAAAATGTTGTCTGTTAGTATTTTGATTCTCAAAATGTTGCTTCATATTAAAAATACGGCAGAAGATTAATCCGGCATAGCTCATAACTTACTGCATACTTGTATATATATTTTCAGCCGTTCATTCATATATGAATATTGAAAATATATGAATGAATGAATGAATGAATGAATGAACGAACGAACGAACGAATGAATGAATGAATAAATGAATGAATGGCTAAATGAACAGATGAGACAGTGAATGAATGAATGAATGAATGAACGAACGAATGAACGAATGAATGAATGAATAAATGAATGAATAGCTAAATGAACAGATGAGACAGTGAATGAATGAATGAATGAATGAATGAATGAACGAACGAACGAACGAACGAATGAATGAATGAATAAATGAATGAATAGCTAAATGAACAGATGAGACAGTGAATGAATGAATGAATGAATGAATGAATGAATGAATGAATGAATGAATGAACGAACGAACGAATGAATGAATGAATGAATAAATGAATGAATGGCTAAATGAACAGATGAGACAGTGAATGAATGAATGAATGAATGAATGAACGAACGAACGAACGAACGAATGAATGAATAAATGAATGAATGGCTAAATGAATGAATGGCTAAATGAACAGATGAGACAGTGAATGAATGAATGAATGAATGAATGAATGAATGAATGAATGAATGAACGAACGAGCGAACGAACGAACGAACGAATGAATGAATGAATAAATGAATGAATGGCTAAATGAACAGATGAGACAGTGAATGAATGAATGAATGAATGAATGAATGAATGAATGAATGAACGAACGAGCGAACGAACGAATGAATGAATGAATGGCTAAATGAACAGATGAGACAGTGAATGAATGAATGAATGAATGAATGAATGAATGAATGAATGAATGAATGAATGAATGGCTAAATGAACAGATGAGACAGTGAATGAATGAATGAATGAATGAATGAACGAACGCGCGAACGAACGAATGAATGAATGAATGAATAAATGAATGAATGGCTAAATGAACAGATGAGACAGTGAATGAATGAATGAATGAATGAATGAATGAATGAATGAATGAATGAATGAATGAATGAATAAATGAATGAATGAATGAATGAATGAATGAATGAATGAATGAATGAATGAATGGATGATTGAAACTAAGAATCAAATAGTTGGAGAGAGAGAGAGAGAGAGAGAGAGAGTGAGAGAGAAATAGATTAAAAAAAGAGTGAAAAAACTAAGTCATATAAATTATTCATCCTGGAACGGTGAATTTTTATGGGTATTAAAAATATTATTTTAAAAAATCCAGTACATTGATAAAATAGTTAAGAATTTAAAAGAGAGAGAAAGAGAGAAAGAAGGGGAAAGAGAGAGAGACAGAGAGAGAGAGAGAGAGAGAGAGAGAGAGAGAGAAGGAAAGAAGAAAAAGGAGCAGGAGATGAGAATTCAATTTTTTCTGAAAAACGATTGATTTTATTTCATAATATCACTGTTCAGCGTTCTCATCCTTATTGTTACTAGCTTTTATTCTCTTCTTCATCTCATTATTTTATTATTATTGTTAATTATTATTATTGAGAGAGAGAGAGAGAGAACGAACCGATACGAAGAAATCAGGGAGCACATAGGAGAGAATAAACTGGTTGACGAATTTATCAAGCAAGTTACAGGATAATTAAAACCGTCCCAGAGCTTATCATCTTGTTTGTGTATATGCACGTTTGTTTCTCTCTGTGTGTGTGTTTGAGTGAGTGAGTGTATGTGTGTTTGAGTGTGTGTGTGTGTGTGTGTTTGAGTGTGCGTGGGTTTAGATGTTTTTTACTTAGTTTCTTACCGGCTGTCTGGTTGGTTGGTTGGTGTCTTATTTATTTAATGTCATTCAAATCAGTATGTTTAAAGGCGGATAATCTCCGCTGAATGCCAGCTTAACGTAATGTTAGTTTGCAAGCTCTTCGGTTTGTTTTATGTGTTTATGTCTGTGTGTGTGTTGGTGTCTGCGTTTATGTATATATGTGAGAAGGATTGTAATGATCTGTGTATATATTTTTAATATTTAATGGGCAAAAGCCAGACCATATGCAAAGTTTTTCAAAGTGTTCAACGTACAGAGTGCTGAATGAATGAATGAATGAATGAATGAATGAATGAATGAATGAATGAATGAATGAATGAATGAATGAATGAATGAATGAATGAATGAGTGAATGAATGAATGACACCAGTTATTCATTTATTTCCTATACATGTAATGTATTTGTATTTTTATTTCAGATCAATGAACTTGTGTTGTACTGTTATTTTAAAACATGCACACATACATATACATTTGGCTTTTGGTGTCATTCGTCAATGATTTGATTTTAACATATACATATACGTCATGCACACATACACACACATTTCCTCACACACACACACACACACACACACACACACACACACACACATACATACATACATACATACATACATACATACATACATACATACTTATAAACATAACATACAATACTTAGCCCTCCCTCCCCATAGAATATTTCTATAAAATAATTATTGGTTTCATTCGAGTGCTCTCGGCTTTCCATATATTTTTTATCTATGGACCCAGCGTCGAGTGTCAAATCTCTATTGTTGCCCGTTCGTGAATTTTAATCATCTGTTAGAAATTTTTTCAACGCGAAAATGAATTTTAAGTATTCTCAACGCCATCGTCGTAGTCGTCATCCCCTTAACTGTTTCCGTCATCATTTATGACGTCATCATCGTCGTCGTCATCGTCATCTTCCATTCTATCATTATCAATTATAATTCCATTGGAATCATTTTCAACTTCACTACCGACGTGTTTATAGATGTTTTTTTTTGTCAGCATCTTTCACCATCATCACCATCATCGTCTTCTTCATCGTCATCATCTCCTCCATCATCACCATCATACCCATCGTCATCTCCCTTCATCATACTCATCATCTTCATCATCACCGTCGCTGTAAATTGTTTTACTGATGTGAGGTAGTATTGAGTATTAAGTAGTAGGTAGGTAGGTCGAGAGAGTGTATACGCATGCATAATCCAGGAGGCTTAATGATCATTTAAGGCATTGTCTAACATGAAGAATGACTTTAACCCTATTTTACTTTTTTTCTGTCTCTCTCTCTCTTTCTCTCTTTCTTATTTTTTTTCTCTGCGTTTTTCTATCTTTGTCTCTCTATTTCTGACTTTTTCTATTTATCTTTCTCTCTCTCTCTCTCTCTCTCTCCCCGACTATTTTCGTTGTTCCATTTTCTTTCCTTTTTTCCTCTTTTTTTGTTTTTTTCTCCTTCCCTACCTTTCTTCCTCTTTCTTTCTTTTTTTTCTCTCTCTCTTTCCCTCTCTCTCTCTCTCTCTCTCTCTCTCTCTCTCTCTCTCTCTCTCTCTCTCTCTCTCTCTCTCTTTGTATTAGTATATTAGTATATTAAATTAAAAGTTAAAATGTTTTCAACGTTCAAAATAAACACCTAAATAAGCAATTATTTGATGGGAAAAATCTAATATATGAATGAATGAATTAATTAATTAATAGATGAATGAACGAATAAATTAATGAGCGAATGAAGGAACGAATGAATGAATAATATTTTATTCAATGTTTGCAAATTGTGTGGCAAAATAATTGTAACCTGTCCATCAAGTTAAGCGCTCTTATGCACGTTTTGACGGTTTAATTCATCACACATTCTTTCTTTCATTCATTCATTTATTCTTTTTTTCTTTTTTTCTTTCTTTCTAACATTCGTTCATTTATTTATTTTTTCATTCATTTATTCGTTTACTCGCAAGCAAACATACAATTTAGAAACATTTTTTTAATTAAACCGTTTAACTCGTGCCTTGACATACTCATTACCTTGTGTTTTCTCCTATGTATGTTTGTATTGTATGTTTGTATTGTATGTTGTGTGTTGTATGCTTGTATTGTATGTTTGTATTGTATGTTTGTATTGTATATTTTATATTGTATGTTTGTATTGCATATTTATATTATATGTTTGTATTGTATGTTTGTATTGTATGTTTGTATTGTATGTTTGTATTGTATGTTTGTATTGTATGTTTGTATTGTATGTTTGTATTGTATGTTTGTATTGTATATTTTATATTGTATGTTTGTATTGTATGTTTGTATTGTATGTTTGTATTGTATGTTTGTATTGTATGTTGTGTGTTGTATGCTTGTATTGTATGTTTGTATTGTATATTTACATTGTATGTTTGTATTGTATGTTTGTATTGTATGTTTGTATTGTATATTTTATATTGTATGTTTGTATTGTATATTTTGTATTGTATGTTTTAATTTGTATTGTATGTAGCAACAGTAGCTGTAGCATTAGCAGTAGCGTTATTTCAACAGAAGTTGTGGTAGTAGGAATAGGAGCAGTCGCGTTAGTAGTAGTGGCTTTTGCACTACTACCACCTAGACTTCTACTAACGCCAATAATACTAATTATAACAGTAGTAGTTTTGTAAAATTGGAAGTAGTGGCTGTAGTAATAGAAGTACTTGTAGCTTAGTGGTAGCAGCAGTAGTCGTAGTAATAATTGTAGTGGTAGTGGTAGTAGTCGTAGTAGTAGTAGTTGTAGTAGTAGTAGTAGTAGTAGTAGTAGTGGCCGGCGAGCGCCTACTCATACTTATTAAAGAACGCTGGCATATTCAAGCACCATGACGCATTCTTAATGTACCTACGTCCAAATAAATATTTTTACCTACGTATCTGTATGTTTATGTATCTGTGTGTATTTGTATGTGTATTTCTGTGTGTACCTTTTGGTATGTATGTCTGTTTATTTCTACGTATTTGTAAATGTTAGTGTATTTCTTACGTATATGCTTGTATGTGTATTATATATGTGTGTATATTTTGAAATTTTGCTTGTGCGTGTGAGTGTGTGTGTGTGTGTGTTTTATGTGGGGATATGTTTGATACTAAATGAATATCAGTTTTCGATTTTTATCTCAAGAATGATTGCAAACATGCGAATATAAAGAAATACTGTTTGTATGCGCGCGTGTGTTTGTATGCGTGTGTTTGTATGTTCGTGTGTGTGTTTGTATGTGTGTGTTTGTATGCGTGCATGCATGTTTGTATACGAATGATTGCACACTAAAGCGAACAAAAACATAAAATCACGCATTAAAGTTCTTTATACCATGTCGTTGATGCATCATACTTAAACACACACAAACACACGCACACACGCACGCGTAAGTGCACGCACATACGTATTTGTTTGTTTGTGTGCGTCTGTGTGCGTGTGCTCTGAAGTCTTGAGCACTATTCGGTTCAGTGAATGGTTATCATCATGTTTATGAATCTATGTCTATTTGGTACTGTGGATATGTTGTTGTTGATATTGTTGTTGTTGTTGTTGCTGTTGTTGTTGTTGATGTTGCTGTTGTTGATGTTGTTGTTGACGTCGTTTTTGTTGACGTTGTTGTTGTTGATGATAATGATGTTTCAATGTTTTTATTGTTTATGTTTTTTTTATTTTTTTTTGTTTTTTTTTCTATGAGAATGTATCAGATTATTTAGTTGATGGTTTTTATATGCTAATATCGTCCATGCTTGTATCCAAATACTGTTTATATCTATCCACATGACGGATATTATGTCTATGTTTATGTTGTAGGCATGTTTATATGATTTTTTTTCGTTTATATAGTTTATGGTAATGTTGTTGTTTGTTTTTGGGATAATCATCGTCATCATTTCACCATTGTTTTCATCATCATCTTCATCATCTTCATCATCATCATCGTCGTCACCACCATCATCATAACCATCATCATCGCCATCACAATCATCATCACCATAATCATCATCATCATTGGTTATGACGTAAGAGTAATATAACTACTGTCCAGCGTCGGTGGTCGCCTCATTTGCATGCACTGCCATCATCCACTCCACTCTGTGCGTTTAGTCATTCATTCCTTCTTTCATTCTTTCATTCATTTATCTATTCAATCGTTCGTTTATTTATCCATTTAATCATTCGTTCGTTCATTTCTTCATCCATACTTTTTTCTTTCCATTCAGTTAATCATTCATTCATTCATTCATTCATTCATTCATTCATTCATTCATTCATTCATTCATTCATTTATCCATTCATTCATTCATTCATTCATTCATTCATTCATTCATTCATTTATCCATTCATACATTCATTCCTTCTTTCTTTCTTACCTGCATGCTATCAATGTTGAATACATTAAATAACTCCGCAATGTAATTTATATATTCATAATAATGATGGCGACGATGATGATGATGATATTGATGATGATGTAAAAACGATGATGATGATTTTTTTTACATATACACTCCTGTCTTTTTTGTATGTGTATGTGCATGCGTGTTTGTGCGTGTGCGTGTGTATGTGTGCTAGTGTTTTGGGGTACAACATCAACAAACATACAAACAAACAACATCAACAAACATACAAACAAACATCAAACAAACAAAGATCACACACTTACGACATCAAAATACATACAAACAGCATACGTATTGCAACAAACACAATACAAATCAACAAACGAACATACATACATACATACATACGTACATACACACATACAAACAAACGCACATTCAAAGAGTTGCTTTGACCTCAGCTCGCTTGCTGGCAGTATCCAGCGAGGCGAGTTGTGGCTGGCTGAGATCTTTGCCCAATACGTCGGTGGGTACCAGATTGGACGACGAAACGGTCAGG